ACTGTTTACATGCCGTTTCTGCTTGCGTTCCAGGTTCCGTGCGGAGGACTTCTCCACGCTGTGCTCGATCCTGGAGCGGGCGGTGGCCGTGCCGGTCCACGGAGAGGTGTCACCCTTCATCCTGCCCTCGCTCACCGAGGTGGTTCTTACCAAACTGCAGGAGGCCGTGCTCGCCTGTCTCGACACCGTCGAAAAGGTGCGTGCCGCTGTGGCTAGACTGTCTGCCGTGGTCTGCCGGTGTAGTAGGATGGATCAAATATGTGCAGATGGTGCCCGCTAATCATACATCTGCAATCTGTATGTTTTACATAAGTATTGCGTGCTTTTTCTCCGCAGTAAATGCATCTTCCACTTTCCAGACTAGCTGGTAATGTATTAGTTGATTCAGTAGAATCGCCTGAGTCAGAATAGGGCTTTACTTAACCTGATCCGTCTGTGAACATACGTCACCGTGCGACACACAGCGGCCTGTCACCTAAGCTGGTGGTGTGGACCCTGACTCTGACCTGACCCGGCTCGTCCACAGGGTGCACTATCCGACACGGAGCCGGTGAACCAGCTGATCCCGGCGCTGTTTGACCAGCTGCTGACTTTCTCGCGGTATGGCTGTCAGGCCCCGTCCTATGGCGACGTACCGACGCGGCCACAGGGCAACTCGTCCAATAAGGTAGGTACGGGATCGGGCGAAATGTTTGGGAACGGGGGTGTGCGTACGGACTGCGAGAAATTCATCGACTGAGGTACTCGCAACGTGATCATCAAAATCAGTACAAAAGCTGATTTTGACTGAACATTGCCAGCCTGCTGCTTAGTTTTCAGGTCTCCGAATGTTGCATTAGTTTGTTGTTTCTGTTCGAGCGTGATTCTGCATTCGAGCTTTCTCATTTGCTTTGACCTTTTCCCGTACGATGGGCTGGCTGATCTGTCCTTTCGATTAGTTGTGATCGAGGATGACTTTTGAGCCTCTTACTTCCCTTCCCAGACGACCGACTGGGTGGCGATGAACTATGTGCCTTTCGCCGAGACCACGCTGCGCCGGGCCACGGCGCTCTACAAGACTACGGCACGCAGATCGGATGTCATCGAGACCAGGGTGCTGGAGAAAATCATACAGGTAACCAACATCACACTATGAGGCGGCGGTGATAGCGAAAGTGTATTATATGCGGCTTTTAACCCGCGACCTGGACGGGGGGGGGGCTATTTTTTGCCCCCCCCCCTCCAGACTTTTCGATATATCTCCAGAACCGCTGAGCCGATCGTCACCAAACTTTCAGTACCCTCCCGGACATCAATTTTACACATTGTGACCAAAAATTTTCCAAAGGCTATGATAGGTTGGCCGGAAATGACGTCAGAGTGACGCCATGTTCTGCCGTTTTTGACCTAAAAAAGGGTTTCGCGGGAAGAGCTGTCAGGCCTATAGCTTTGCAAATACAGAAAAATGATAACGACATAAAAGCTGTAGAATTGACAGGGCTACAAAACTGCCATCTCGGATTTTTGAAATTTTTGGATTTTGACCACCAAAAATCAAAAAATGATTTTTTTTGATATAATAATCGAAAAATCCAAAAAGTTTTTTGAATTTCGCAAAAACCAGAATATATGTGATAGTCCTTACCGCCTTCTATCCACATACCAAATTTGAGATTGATACCTCTTTTTTTGGCGAAGTTATAGCGAAAAAACTGTTCAAAATTGATGACGTCAAATTTTCAAACTCAATTTTTAGCAATTCTAGACCCCGTAGCGCAAAACAAAGACCACCATTAGACTCCCCGTGACGAGCTGCATCGAATCAATACCCATTTTATGCAAAACTATCAACTTTAAAATTTGACCTTTTTTGGCCTGACCTTGACCTGACCTTGACCTGAAATTCACCAGAAAGTGACCTAAGCCGTACCTGATAGTCTTATAACCAACACCATTGAGTTGGAAATGAAAAATTGGCCATAAAACATGCATCACACAACCTTAGTAAAGTTGGGCTCATGTGACCTGACCTGTGACCCTTGGTGACCTGACCTGTGACCTGACCTGGTATTGTCAGTGACCTCTAATAGCAACATATCTACTAGGCAACTGACGCCCTATCGCTGATTCTCGACAAAATGCGTTTTCCTCGGTGTTATAGCGCATTCCCTAGAAGACCCGTGAACGGTGAAACATTTCATCTTTGACCTGACCTGTGACGTCATCGGTGACCCCGAGGTCAATAAAATTTGGTTTCCTTCGACAAATTTGACAGGCCTTTCGAACGCCGTTTGAATTTTGCGGATCCGTCCAGTAGTTTCGGAGATACGAGGGGGGGGGGGCAAAAAATAGCCCCCCCCCCCACCAGGTCGCGTTATAAACAGACCCCACCAGGGCGCGGGTTAAAGGTCTGAGCCATTAACTTAAGGTAGATCACCATATTACAGGAATTTGCGGTTAGATATGGCAGTTCAAATGATTATATCACATGTGACGCGTAATTTTTGTCCTTTTGCTCTCTATTGCACCATGTGATTCAAATCATGGTGTGTCTCAACTTGCTGTTCCTACCGTAGGAGACTGCCACCCCCTCCCCCTTGGCCCTCACCGACTTAGACCCGCAATCTCCTTCACCCCGCTTCTGCCCCTCCGTGTCAGATGCTGGAGCTGCCGCTGTCGCTCAAGTACGCGTGTCCAGCGCCGACCACGTGGCGTCTGGCCGTCTCCTGTCTGCTGGACGTACTGAAGGAGGGTCTGGTGACGGCCCGGCAGCACCGGCAACACAGTGCCAACGTGTGGCCGCGGCTGGCCGCCTGCCTGGAGGCGTTCCTCTTCTCGCAGAGGTGGGTACGGCTGACCCGGCTGACCGCGGGGTCGCTGGTCGGACTGCGCGTGGGGTGATTTATATAACTTCCGTTAGGTTTCATTGCTTGTCTTCTGTCTTATCAGTCCCTATTGTTCCATTTGTGATCTCAGTTCGACTTCTTGTGTCCTATGTCTCATACATGTATCCTATGTATCCGCTCTTATAGCCGGTTTGTACGAACCTTTTGTGACACGAATATGGCCCGCGTGACCGCCAGTGAGCCACCGGCCTCGCTGAGCGCCGAGGAGCAGCAGGCAGACGAGGCTCTCGACTGCGCCGTGGTCCGTATGCTGCGGGACGACGTACTACCGTTCGCCGCCGTGGTGCCCAACCAGTTCCTGGTGTCTGTCATGGCGCTACTCAACAGGGGATCGCTGCACTCGGCGCAGCACGAGAACCTCGGTAAGTGAAGCACGGGAAAGGGCGAGGATTTGAGGCGCTGGACGAGTCGGACGAGTGACAAGCCGTAATTACTTGTTTGAATGATGTGGGTCGACATGGTTATGTAGGCTAGGACCGAACAAGGGATAGCCAAAAAGAGCGACTACTGCATAATTAAACATACGGCAGACAAAATACGCGAAGAGCTGCGTCTGATAACGGCCGGCTAACCTCTCTTCCCTCTCTCCACAGAAAACGGCACCAGCCGTCTGCGGGAGGAGTTTGCCAACGCGTGTTTCGAGACGCTGCTGCAGTTCTCGCTGCAGGCGGGCCCGGCGGCGGCGCGTGCGTCTGCGGACGGCGGGATCACAGCCCAGCTGGCCGTCACCGCGCTCGTACACAGGTTCAGGGAGGTGCTGGTCGGCTTCGTGGAGGACGGCAAGCTGGCCGGAAAGTGTCCCCTGCCCAGGTCAGTCCCGGATCGGGATGATGTGTGACTGTGCTCGACGTAGATTTGGTTGCGCTCGACATTTTTTATTAGGAAGTCACGCCCTGTAGTGCGCGAGAATTAAACATGACTAAGCCTTCGACTCGAGGACTATTTTGAAAATGGACACGAAGGTCAGGGATTCGCAACCGTATATTAAGGCAGAACATACAGTGTCGGTAGCGCTTTTACATTAAGTCATGATCTGTTATCTGTTGAGCTTTCTGCAGTACGAACTGACTGACTGGCTGCAGTGACCATTTTTCCAGACACCGCATGGCCGAGATATCGTTTGTCCTCCGTGCCATTACGTCGCTACTGTCTTCGTTGAAGAAGGCTGACCCCGAGAAAGGTGAGCCGTGGAGGAGCGACAGAGTGGCGATGCGTTCTGTTATGACATGGGTCGAGCTTTGGTATGACTGGGCGGTAGTTCTGAAGTTGTGCATCAGGGACCTGACATTCCCGATCTATAAATGAATCATCAGCTGACGCCGACCTACCCCGTCCCACAGTGGACCACCTGACGTGGCAGCAGCTGGTGGAGCTCTACCCTCCGCTGGTGAGCTGCACACTGCTGGCCTCGGAGCAGGTGGGCCGGCCACTGCACGACGCGCTCCTGCAGTACGCCGACCTCCTGCGACCTCCCCCCGACCGGCCGGGCTCCGCTGCCGGACAGAACGGAACCTCGTAACGACTACGGACAGACTAGTGTACTGTGGGGTCATCGCACGCCGCGGTCTAGAACTGTGTAGACAGGGTCGCGTCCGTCCGTCCGTCGGGGCGGGCTGGTCGGCCTACCCGGCTGGAGTCTGCCGAGCGTGGGGCGACCGCCGCGGACCCCCACACAGGTGATATGTAGCTGCTGTTCTGTTGTTGGCGGCCTGGCCGAGTTTGTTTATTTTTCTGTGCTTTTTGTGTGGTCGGGTTGATCTGACTGGAGAGTATCAGGTACTTGTATCGAGTGCATGGGGCGGGGAGCGAGTCATTCCATAGGGTGAGACGGTAGACGTGTATGTGTGTTCGGGCGGCTAGATATTGCGTTATTAGTGTTCAGCCGGGCCGGGCGCCGGTCCGCGGTGCTAGCTAGAGCTGGCGATCTGCGGCGACACGCTGGTGAATTCACATGCGGTGGATCTGGTGACAAATACCCGACGGTTCCGTAAACTCTATGTTATGTGCAACTTCTGAACTTCTCCAGCCTTCCGTTCAGTCTCACTTCTCCGTTCGTTACCGTTTAAATCCTCCACCAAACTGTGAGCTGTGGTCCGTCCTTCCCAAGACAGCACATCCCATATTGTCCATTTATTCGCCTATCTAAGCCGCCGCGCGGGGTCCATTCGCCGGCTCGTATTCAGGTCTCGGCAACCGGTACAATAACGCACTCCGGTCGCCGACTGACTGACTGCGAGCGCCGACAGTTGTATATCAGGGCAGCGTCCAAATAGAGCGGGGTCGGGCGCCGCGACGGGAAACATACATAATCACATGCAAGTGCGACGTTGATAGCGATGATGGTAGCGTGAATATGCGAATACACGCGTTGTACACGAGACTGGGTGTGAGATCGCCTCAGAACTCGAGGTTGATGTTGTGCTCCTTGACATGCGAGTTTATGGAGAAGGCCTCGTTGCCTCGGATGGAGAGGATCTCGCTCTCCAATTTCGGACCGGTCCGCTCCTGTGGAGGAAAATCAAACAGGTCAGGATATGACGACACCGTGAATGTCGGGACATGCATTGACAAACAGCGACTGAAACTGACACCAAAACGAAAAGAGACGTACTAATTTACTTTTCGAGAGCTGTAACGAGTGTCAGTCACACGCGTCAATATCGTCATTTGAAACAAGCGAATCGAAACCACATCGCATCATCGCATCATCGCAGATAGGCTAGCTACCCGCTGGACCTGACCTTGCCCATGGGCGCCTTCTGCCAGCTCTCCCCGCCGCAGTTCTGGCACGGCAGTCGCGGCAGCTTGTCCAGGCTGATGGTGCGGCTCTTGCAGTTGTTGCAGCTGAAGAACCTCTTCACGGCGTCCAGCAGGATGGTGGTGTGGCCCTCGGACTTGCACAGGTCGGAGGCCGACAGCGCCCGGTACTTGCACTGAAGGCAAGATTAGAAAAAAACACGTTAGGAATGGTGTTTACTTGTTTAGGCTCCAACGCACAGATTCAGATACATTAGGGGACGGGATAATGACTGGGTTGCGTAAGCAAGAATAATATCAGCGATTATCAACGCGACATCAGACATGCTGCCGTCAAACGCGTGTCGTGATGTGAAAGGACGAAAGTAAGCAGCATATAAGGATTCAACTCGAAGTCAGGCCAAATCCATAACATCCACTAACACCCACCACCACCGTCAGCGCGTGCTGACCTTTTTACAGTAGACGGCCTTGGTCTTGACCTCCCAGGTGGTGAGCATCTTGTTCTCGACCAGCTCCTTCTTCTCCAGTGCCTGGAAGTAGTGCTCCTGACCCTCGGTCAGCTCGGCCTCCAGCGCGGCTGCGTGAGAGGAGCGTGCCTCCAGCACCGCCCGGAACGCCGGGTCGTCGGCGAGCCGGCTCCGCTTGGCCGCCGGGCCCGGGTCTGACGGAGGGTGGGTCACAATACGTAAGGGGTCAAAGTCGGGAAAAGGTCAGAGGAGGTGTCATCTAAGATACGTTTTGAGAAATCGGTAAAAACAAAGTCTGAACAGAATTTCGAGGGGAACGTTTTTTCCATCGGTTTGGAATGACGACGTTCCATCGGTTTGGTACATTATGATGATAAATGGAAATTGGAAATGATACGAATACAGTATCAAGCCACAAAAACGAGCCCAAAACATCTAAAGGCGACCCTCGCCAACACACCTTTTACCTCTACCCTCCCCCATCTCTATTCTTTACCACTCTCACCTGCTCCGCGCAGTGCCGGTACACCAGGAATGTTCTCATCAGCCTCCCGCTCCAGCCGCTTTTTGACGAGCTCCCGGCGCTGGTCTGAGGGCCGCGACCGCACCGCGTTCGGGTCCGTCTTCTTCAGCGGACCGGACTTCTTCAGCAGCGCCAACGCGCGAGCCTGGAGAGCAAAAACAAAGGAGGCCAGGTAGTGAAACATCCGCAGTATAAGCCTGAAGCCAATAAGACTGGCATACTGGATAGGTTACGGCATGTGCGAGCGTCTCATTTCATCCTTCCTTTTCCTCTTCTTCAGACCAGATTCGTTGGAACATCAAGAAGCAGCACTGAGTGACTAAGATTAGTCTGTCGGGGGGACCACCCGTTTCCTTCGCTCTCCAGCGCCCCGCCCGGTCTCCGTTCGCACCTTAGCGGCGGATCCGGCGACAGCTCTCTGCTGCGGGCTGACGTCCAGATCGACCGTCTGTCCGGGCGTCACGTGGCGCGCCAGCCGCGGCGCCGCCAGCGCTTTCTCGGCGACCCGCCGTCGCGCAGCCTCCTCCCTCAGCATGGCGGCGGGGTCGGCAGCCGTACGGCGCGCCGGCCGAGGCTCGGCCAGGTCCGTGGAGGTCGACTCAGTGGAGTCTTTGGTCAGGTGGCGGAGCAGGTTACGAGCGCCGGCACATGGCTTCAGCAGGAGCTCACCCCTGGAGGAGAGAGGAACAGCGGTCACCGGATGATTGCCATGTTATAAGAGAAGGGGAGAGAGAACTGCGATCAGATCATATTGACCCATGACCATTAACTAAGCCCATACTCTTAATTTTCCGGTGACTCTTCCAATAAATATACCCAAAAATCAAGCCTTGCATCACGACTGGTGGATACACTGATGCATCGCTCTTACATTTCCATACTGTCCTCTGCGACGTTGGCAATGGCTTTGGCCTCCGCTTGGGAAATGTGCTTCAGGCCTGCCGTGTCCAGCTTTTTCTTCTTAGTGTTCAGAGTATCCTCACACTGCGGAACGAACGAGAGGGCGGTCAGAATGGGTCCGTGAGGTGACAATCTGGGTGTGGTGAACGTCACGGGCATGAGAAACTGTCACGCGAACGATATGGATTAGTGTTTTCCGGTCCCACCGTCAGCTCGTCTTCTGACAGTAGCCCGCTCCCTTCCCTCGCTCTCAAGCAAATGTCTCCGTCAACCAGTAGTCCTTAGCCGCTCCCTCCCCAGCTATTCACTGTCTCAACCTCCTGAGCCCTCTGTAGTTTGATTTACCTGTTTTTGTAGCCGGAGGCTGGTGAGTCGCTCTCTGTCTTTGAGTTTCTGAGCGGCCGTCTCTGAATCTCGCCGCGCCAGAGCGCCGCCGGAAAAGGCGCCCTCGTGGAGAATCTGGCCGCCCGCGCCGCCGACGCCCCCTCCCAGAGGCTTCTTGGGCGCCACACTGCTCACACCCTGCACAGTGATCGAGGGACATGAGTCCTGGGATTGGTGGAAGGATACGACAGCCAGTGGACAGCGGAGACAGAATGGCAGTAGATGAACGAGGAGTCCAAATGGTTAGCGGATACAAAAACGATTCACACACCGAATGATTGCAAGACCAGTGAAATTAATCGTTATCAAACAGCAATCTAAGGAAACAAAACCAGGCTTATAAACATTTAACACTCAAAAATATTCAACGCTGCTCAGGTAGCCATTCAAGCAAAACAATATTCAACGCTGTTCAGGTAGCTATTCAAGCAGCTCTGAGTGCTGAAGGAAGTGGCTGCGCTCACCTGAAGTTCGCCTCGCTTTGATCCGGTCTTTTTGTACTCGGCAGTCATATGGAATACACACACGGGACAGTGACGCTTGTTGATGAAACTCAGACAGATACGGCCGTTCTTACACCTGGGAAGTTGTGAATATCAGTCAGCATCGTGCGAAGGGCAAGTTTCCGATAACGTACTTTCCATGGTTCAACTTTAGGACAAATAATTTTTTTTTTAATAAAAACAAAACAATGAACAGTAACTATCTTCTGAAGAAGAATGCGGGTTCTACTACTGATCCGAACGAGTTTTGATTCGCCGTCAGTTCTTACTTTGCCTTACAGAAGTCCAGATCGGGCGATGTGCCCAGCATAATACAGTGTTTCCCTGAGACGACTGAGATCGTGATGCCTGTGCTGCCAGACATCTCCCTGAAAAACAAAAAGTGGAACGGTGATGTTGCTGATTTGCTTGCGAATCAAACAGCTGATACAGAATATGGTAACGGCAACTTTGAACTAGGAGCCAACCGTAACTTCTCAAACTTTCGAAACGTGTGCCTTCTCGTAGATAATCGTACAGTTAATGGACCAGCCGTTTGTCATGCTATCGAAATTATCGGCTCTCTGAATGGTGTCTCATCCCAGAATCCCTTATCCCTGCGTCTGAGGTTACCTAATTGCCCTTCCAAAAGTCACTTACTTGTCCTTCATGACCTTGCTGTTGGCGAGTGCCACCACTGTTCCTACGGTGGTTTTCCATAGGGCCGAGTGGGCCTCGCCAAACAGCATCACTTTGACCGGCTTCTGAACGTCCACCAGATCGGTCAGCGTCCACGACGAGTAGGCCGAACCCTGCGGACCCAGGCAGCGGGCAATGATGAAATGAAAATGTGCGTAAAATCACGCACAGAACACATAGAGTAAGGTGTACTAAAATAATGCTAAGTCATAAGCACAAACTCAATTACATGCATTGACTCCCATGGTTACGACCTGAGGAAAAGCGAACCCACTTTGCATCACTTACACATCACGTATTTTATTGCAAATAATCATGACTGCAATCATGGTCCAGACTGCGGGCGCGCCAGCCGGCTGGTCCAGACTTGATCCAACCAATTCTAACACATCCTCATTCATCCTCAGGTCAGAGTCTGACCTCACATAGTAGTTTTTGCCTTTGTACGACAGCATTCATCCGTCAGTTCTCCAGTGTATCCGCCCGTCGCGCGCCTACCTTCTGTGAGGTTCTCGGGTCGGACTTGCGCGCGATGACGCCGATGGTGACCCAGTCACCAGGGATGCCGTCTGCTCGCACGTTGTTCTCCAGCTGACTGACGCGGATCAGACGCTTCCCCTGGAGACAGTCGCGCAGCTCGATACTGGTGAGGCGAGGATTTCTGCCGACGGAGGGAGAGAGAGAGAGACGAGGTCAGTGGCAGACGGCACAACTTTGATAGAATGGGCATTGAAGCAAAAGCTGCGGTCTTGTAAAACTTTTCAAATGCATCGCAAACCGTAGGAAAAGTCGTACGAATAAATAGTAACAAATAGAACACCCGACGCAACCCTGTAAAGATCACATTTATCATTGAAATAAGACATTTCTATTATGAGTACATTAAACGTTTTTTTCTGAGCTCTGACTTTAGGATGATGAGCTCAAAGCCTCCCATAATTCACTTGACAGTCTATCCACACACAACACACCCCCTTCCCCTCCCCCACTCACATGACACTGATTTTGGCGAACGAGTCGATCATGATCTCCTCATGCGGCTGCTCGGGCACCGCCGGCCGGCCTCCGTCCGCTTTCTTGGCCGCCGTTTTGGGTTTCAGCGCCCGCTGTGCGGCCCGGTTCACGTGCTCTGCGCGCTCCTGAAGCCGGTCGCGGCCGGTACCCGAGGCGGACGCGTGGGCGATCCGTTTGACGGTGCGTCCGAACTCGTTGTAGCGCTGCTCGAACGGCTGCCGGTTGTCCTCATCCTCGCTGGAGTCGGTGTCACCGCCGTGCACCTCCGAGGCGGGCCGCCGCAGCATGGCTCGCACCCGCTGCTCGAGCGAGGTGCGCTGAGAGGGCGGCAGCTCGGCAGGAACCACAGTCGATGGGACGATGCCGGTGGTGTCCAGGAATCGCGATTTGTTCGGAGTTGGAGGTTTCTTGATTTTGCTAACGACATCCTGTAGGGATTTCGGAGATTGTTTGGATTGTTTCTTCTGTTTTAGCTTTGCAAGTTTTGCTTCCAGCGCGAGGATCTCTGATTCATCAGGATCGTCAGGATCATCATCTTCAGCTGGGGCTGTCGACGGAAGCCTGGGAGTCTCCTCATCTGACAGGGCCAGATCAGATGCCACAGTCTGTGACGCCCTGTCTGGCTCACCAGAATAAGCTGCACTGATGTTAGACTGTGGAGGTGTGGAACTGCTCCCACCCTTCAGATTGGTAAATCCAGTAGTGGTGTTTGATGTTGAAGCTACAGGACTACTGGGTTTCTGAGAAACGTCCTTGGTCTGCTGGCTATTAGAGGAAGTTGATTTTGAACCACCTTCATCCCCTCCAGAAGCATCCACCATGGCAAACAGCTCATCATCATCTTCATCAAGCAGAGCTGCAAGATCCTCCAGATCCAAATCTGCAAACAATATATTTAGTTATGCCCATTATGAAACATCTTTGTATAGCTACAACCTGCATAAGTGCATAGCTACAGGGGCATCTATCACGGAAAATATTCAGCCAGTTGGAAATACAACCTCACCTCAATTTTAACCTCTCAATGTTTGAAAGCAAATGCATCCCTCTCCAGTCTCCAGCTTTAACCTACATATTACATATGTCCATGATGAGCTGTTTTCAAATAGAGTAAGTAACATTTTTAGAAAACAGCAATTTCAAGATTGATTTTATTTCAAGGTTTATGAAAAATGATTATTTCTCCTGACCATACACTTTTAATGGTGATTAATTCTTCCTTTCGGAACCTTGTCAGATTAGATTAGGTTTTGTTATTTCTGCTTGTAGTATACCTGACTTTTTAGAAGTAAATTAATATATGAACAATTTCCTAGGTTGATATATGGTTTGTCAGTACATGCTGTGGTTTTTATTTGATTTTGAGCCTATGATGCAAAATGATTTCACCCTTTTAATTGCCTGCTTCACATTTCATAGTTCCAATGCATTTGAAAAAGTGTTTAACTATGGTCTCTTAAAACATGCATTAAAATTCATACTTACTTTCATCTTCCATGCCTGCGGGATCTGATTCAGCCTGTAAAACGAGGGAATGGTGTCAACATCAGTCAAAGCCGTCACAGCCAAAGCTGCTGAGGAAATAAGACACTGTGGCAAGGCGGTAGCTTACTGGAAGATTTCTGAGCATGGTGGCAATTTAACTGAAATATTCAGAGGTCTCGACGTTGACCGATTTTTACCTATGGGGCATTACACCGGACATCCAAAGGCAAGAGTAGCAGTGCAGTTGATTCAGTCAGCAGCATAACACCGTTTATCTCTTTCAAATGACTTTTGAACTGTGTAAATGGATATAATTCTGATAGGATATTGATAGTAGTGCTTAGTTCTGAGCAAAAATTACCATACTTATATCAAATCTGCCTTTTATTGCACCGTCCAACTCCCACGACACAGAGAGAAATTGAATGCCCGCCTGCGCCACTTTCTGTAATCTCGCGCCAAAAGCCCCCTAAAATCTTATTGAAAGAAGCGGCCAGCAATTTAATTTTATTAATGAATAGGCCATATAAAAGCCGATAGAGCTGTTATTTTCGTTATTTCACACAACGCTTACGGCTGTCGGCTCAAGATAGATATCGACATCGTCATCGAACTGCATGAATGAAATCGAACCTGTTAGTAATAGACTTGGACATTTCACAATTTGTGAACCCAAAACGCAGCTACGACACAGTAATGGATCACAAGCCACCCCAATGCATGAGTTACTTCCGTAGACGGGTCCCTTGCTGTTATTAGACCGACATGCAGTTATACGGTACGGCCTTGATCATCTCGTGGTGCAACAAGCAGTCCCATAGCTCCTTGGCACGTGTATTACGAAAGGCAGGAGGCAATAATTACACTTTTCATTCCAGTCGACTTCTGCACGGTCAATGGCAATTGGTACACACAACACATAAACGATAAAACCGCACTCTGCAAGTCATATGGTTCGTATTTCACTGTTATCCTGGAGGAATACCTTTGCGTAACAAGGGCACCTGAACTTTTTATACAATTAAATGATAAAACGTCACACCTGTTACTTTACCGCCCCAAAACAACGTCCTCGTAACATAAAACAGTAACGAAACACACAAAGCAGATAACTGAAAACACAACACAGCTGGCACCAGACTGGCTCAGTTAAGTGGCTACTGAAGAATAGCGCCTAAATCTCGTCGGATATAAGCCAATCGGTCATTCACTCCTAGCTCAATGTCACAAACTTAATTGACCGTTTATAATTCACGTGCTCCGGCATGACAATTCGCGTCGAATGGACGGTTCACAAAGTGCATTCATTCATGGCATTATGCTTCGCCAAATTCACGATACGCTGCGGCTTAGATCGAAATCGTTGGAATCCGCGGTGCAAGATGTTCTTCACCAATCAGTTCTCACCTCTCAATCTTAAGTTTTTTTTTTCGATTGACGCACCGGACCGAGTGGGCAGGCACACGGACGGATTTATCGACACTGAGCAGCTGCCAAGCATTCGATTGTCATGAAAACTCGAAACTTACACCTGCACACAATGCACACCTTCACAGCTTGGACCCTCAGAGGCGTATCCTTTTAACCAGGCACAATGGTGGAGGGGAAGCAATCTGAAGGCCGACTGACAGCGTCATTGTTTTTATTGCCTCACGTTCCCGCAGTCATTCAGCTTCTTACATTGTCCAGAGTACTTTTGCTGACGAGCATTTGGTCGCTCTGTTGAAACTGGTGTAGCTTTTTGGCTGGATTTATGGTGGCTCTTCATCGACGAGGATCATCCCCCCTTGGTCGACATTGTCTTGATAAGGTCTCGGGCACCGCGTCACCACTGGCCCCCTTTGGTGTAGCACAGGCGGGCACAGGAGCTGCACCAACCACCTCCTAGTGAGAACGGCGCACCAGGCCACCAGCTGCTGAGTCTGGTGCAGCAGAGCCGACCTCAGCGCCGCATCACCACCGGTTCGGCCGTGTGTCGTTCGTGGTCCCGTTCAGCATCGCTCCTGTAGATCGGAAAAACGGGTTGGAACAGCGATAACATACGCAACATTTGCTTGTCAGCGAATCACTGCATTTAGCGGCGACAAAACTGATAAGATCGATATATAATTATAAATATTCCTTTTCCGTAATATCAGTCGCCATTCTTTCGCCAATCGACTTTATCTCCTGATATAGTCTGACACACTCCGTAGCGCATATTTCCGATCAAAAGGAAGAGATAATTAGATCTTCTCCAACCACATTCCACACAAGCCATCTCCGTTTCCGGGGCCAACCTACTACTCCCCCCCCCCCCCTCCCACGGCCCACACCATTCAAACATATCATATCAAACACATCCCACTAACCGTCACTGAGGTGCTGTCTCCGTTTCCCTGTGCCTCTCCGATAGGGCGCCAGAGCTCGACAGCAGTGGTAGAGCGACAGATAGAGTGCCGCGCACACGGCAGAGAGGATGGAGCCGGCACAGAGCACCACGAACGGGGAGAAGAGCGGCAGAACGTACCGGACCACACCGGCGCCGACACCGCGACCTGGGGTCAGGGGTCAGAGGTGAACGGGTCATACAGTGACCTGAGGTCAGGGGTCACCGGGTCAGAGGTGAACGGGTCACGCTGCGAACTTAGCACGGGCCACAAGGAGGGGTCAAAAGTGAACGGATCAAACGATTTCAGACTATCATACACTTTGCAGTGACATTTGAAAAAGAGCGGGTAGGTGAAAAGCTGAAGATACGCCGTAGCCCAAATTACATCTGACAGACTCGACCATATAAACTGACCAGTGTACACTGTAAGCAGTATTAAGTATCTGTAAACATCTGCAGTATTAAGTATCTGTAATCATTGCGTTGCTACTACACATGTAAATAATTACAAGTGACGTGGTGAGTGACAATTAGAAATATCTCCCTGACCCCGCCGTCCCTCACTCACCGACGCCGAAGTGCGCCACAGTAACGGCAGCCTGCAGTGTGGCCTCGACCACCGGCCGGCCGTGCAGCGAGCTCAGCTGAACGGCCGACAGCCACGCCAGGTGTACGGTAAACATCTCCAACGACTCGGCCACCAGCAGCAGCCACGCGCTGACGATGTACGCGTAACCTGGCAACGTAAAGTACGGTTAATATCTCCAACGACTCGACCACCAGCAGCAGCCACGCGCTGACAATATACGCGTAACCTGGCAACACACAGTACGGTTAACATCTCTAACGACTCGGCCACCAGCAGCAGCCACGCGCTGACAATATACGCGTAACCTGGCAAAAAAAGAGTACGCTGTACGGTAAACAATCGGATCAGCCACCAGCAGTAGCCAGTAGCAGCATGACGCACTATCAATGCATGCGGTCGCGCATCCTGGCAAGATGTATGCAAACGACTTGGTTGCCAACAGCAGCGAAATACCGGACATAGCAGGCGCAACGAGAAAACGGAGAACAATCACCCATTGTTGACAGATGCATATTTAAACGAATGAATGCATCCCATCCCTTGATCAATTTTGAATAGAATCAACTCAATGACAATAGCTGAATCGTTTGCCTTCACCGTGGCGGGAGAAAGAAGAAACCGCTCCAATAACAAGCAGAACAATATAATTGACACAGCTGGGGACCGAATGCAAAACCAACCGGTCCTGAATTCGGATATGATCCGGATGATCAGTTTCAGTTCGGCCCTCTATAGGACGACCATGGGAGCGGTATGGTCTAACGGGCTCGGTTCCGCCTCATTCCGACCTCCACGTGCCGTGAATAGACAGCGAGCCGGCCGCCGGGCGCCGGTAATAGATAGTGCGCCGCATTCACGGCATTGATTGGAGCGGGACGGGCGGCTATTCCGACCGCACTGCCGGCCTCTGTCTATTGTGTTGGATCTTATTAACATGACAGTAGGTCGGATGTATCGCGGGCGTGATGAAACGGCTGGTAAATTTAAATCAGAGCGGTTCGGATCTGTCAGCGCTTTATACTGGAGCTGTACGGAGCATGCCGTCTAATGGTAGTAAGAGAAGCGCTAATATCGTTACATTACCGGCTACTGAATTCGCTGATATTGCATGAAGCTGTCGCTGTGCAAATGCGGTACGAGCGACTTTAGCGGGCGTCATTTGGGGCGAGCGTCATTTGAGCGAACCTGCAAATGGGCTATGACAGAAGTCGAGATTTTACCCGAATTATATATGAGCTATCGAATTATCTGGGCATCAGAGGTAGAATTAACTGGATTTTACGACAAGTATCGGTTTAGCCAGTCTGTCCTCGCCCCATTGTTTTCTACTTACTGACGTATCTGACGATGTAGACGATGAAGGCCACCATGAAGACGTGGTGATGCCCGCAGTAGGCAATCAGAGCCTCCGCCTTCGCCATGAGCGGTATCAGGAGCAGCGCACCAGCAGTGGTTCCCAGACCAGTCTGCAGATGTGAGCCACCCATACCGCTCGCGTGTCCCGCCAGGAACGTCTCCAGGAAGCCCCAGAGAGCTCCCAGCACCGCCAGCGCGCAGAGCACGCCGAAAAACTCAGCAGCGCAGACGGAGCGCGCCAGACGACGGCTGTACTCTCGCGAGTCGTGTGCCACGCCCGGGCGAACGGTGACGAGTGCTGCTAGGGTCAGCGCGGCCAGTAGAAGAGCCGCGTAGGCGCAGAGGCCGGGACGGAGGTCGGGTGAGCCATCCGCGGTCCGCTGGGTGTCCAACAGGTAGCCGGTGAGCGGAGCGGTGATGGCCAGCCCCAGCAGCCCCCAGAGCGCCTCCCGGCCGTGGTCAGAGCCGTGCCGCCGGCGGAGCAGCAGTGTGGTGGCCGAGACTAGCACCAGAGCCAGTGAGAGGAACGACTCAGCGGCGGCGCGCAGACCAAAGTACAGCCAAAAAGTCATCTGGGGGTCACCCAGCACGGCGCGGCACTGGTCGTCACGGAACAGCGGGGCACCACTCAGCTGCTGTAGGTCACAGTGCAGCGCGCAGCCCGTCTGACGACCGCAGGCTAGGCTGCGGTGGCGCCGCTCGCCGCGACTGAACTCGATCAATGGATACTGACAGTCCTGTGTATCCTGGCTGTTTTCACCAGCCGGTAATACCGTCAGTGAGGCGTTTACCAGGATACCGGCGCCGTCCGACACTACCTCACACTGCGTGGGCTCACTGGTGCCTTCCAGACAGAGGTGTGGTGGCACAGACGGCGGCTCGGTGTCCTCCTCGCACCGGTACCGACACCCGTGGATGTAGTACGCCCGCTCAGTCCTGTCTCCATCCACACACGCTGGTCCACACCGCTCCACATGAATCTCCGTCCCGTCCGGGGCACAGCGCAGCTCCAGGGCGGCGGGTCGCGCCGGCAGTCTCTGCACGGGCGGCACCAGCAGCAGGCAGGGGTAGGCGGCGGCGGCGACCAGCAGAGCCAGCACCAGCAGCGGGCGGTAGTTGCCCATCCTGTCGGCCAGCACAGCGCCCAGCAGCGGGCCGACGCCGCAGGCCAGCGGCGCCACGAACTCCACCCAGCTCCGCTCGTCGGCCGTCAGGCCCAGGCTGGCCATGTGCAGCGAGAGAAACGGCACCACGCACCCGATGGCTGTGAACAGAGAGTTAACGACAGTCAGACCCAGGCTGGCCATGTGCAGCGAGAGAAACGGCACCACGCAGCCGATGACTGTGCAGATAGAAAACGAGAGGGCAGTCAGACTTAGGCGGTCGGGGTGAGCAGACGGGAACGGTGGTGTGTACCCGATGGGGTGCAAACGGATATTCGGCGATGGTCGGAGTTGGACAGAACGGCAGATCCAAGTAAAGACATTGGAATGGGCAATTTTAAGAAAGTTTATGGACAGAAAAGCGAAAGTGACGGCTTTAAAAAGATAGGGCGTTAAACCGTCCATGAGACGGTTCGGTAGGAAATCGCACCAAGGACCGATACCACGGTGCGAACCAAAGCAATTTTGGCATTCATCCCGAAAAGGTGAGCAGGGATGGAAGCAATGAGTTGTCTTTCTAGAAAAAAAAAAAACATTTCCAAAGAAATCTTGGACACACGGCACAATTCGTTCAGGTTGGTCAGATTAATCGCTCAAACAACTTACCTCCATAAAAGGCGAAGAGCATCACCCGGAGGGGCACCAGCGATGTATTGCAGGAGGCCATGGCGTCTCCTCCTGTCAATACTTCACACACCGCTCTGTTTTCTTATTCTTCCCTCACTGTCCGACACTTCTCACTCCTGCCACCGCTCTCCCGTCGACGGGACGCAGCCGTCGCCACAGCCGTCCGGCCGGTCGGGCGGCCGGCACACTTGTGCGTCCCCCGTCCCCGTCCCGTCCCGTCCCGGGGAGTGGCCGGCGACCGGCCGATCTGGGACGCACCTGTGAACAGAGCGGCGGGCCGGCCACTGTCGGCACTGCACGCGGCGCGACACACACACATCGATCACCAGGTGTCCGGCAGCGACTCTCCCGGCCGCCGGTGGGGCTTCGGGGGCTCCGTCTGAGCTGCAGTCTGACAGGCGGCTCCCCGGGACGGCCTGCAACCTTGGCCCCCGGCTCCCGACTGGCGCCGCTCGGAGCTGGCAGCCGGCCCCGGTATACATGACGGACCCGATGCCAAACATTGCCGGCGGCTTGTTTAGCAATGTGGAGATAAATCAGACGATGCCGGCCCTAACAGCATACTAAGCTGCATCAAGCAGCATCAACATAAATAATATCGCTCTTCAATTTCGCTTTTCAGTCTCCGAAAGGCGAATGAGTACTTTGAGTAATGACATAGACGATGCCATACTTTCAACTTACTATGAAAAAATTCAAAACCTATTGCAGGAAATGCACACCAATCACGTACCAACCCTAGTAAACAAAACAATGGTTATTGTGTTGCAAAACAAAGGAATCTGTCACTGATTACCATTTAAATCGCATGCAATCATCTCTCCAGTGCCACGCCCAGCACCATCGCCAGAGGAACTAATTCATCTCCCCGACCACTGACAGCCAAACGACGGAACGAATCACCTCAGACGTCACCGGATAGCAGCCAACGACAGATTACTCGGACAGCTGTTGACAGACGGCCGATGGGCCCGGCACGAGGATGACAGACAGCTGACGTCAACTGACACGCGTTTGTGAGACGAGATGGACGACAGACGACTGAGTAACGATCGCTCAGGAGCTCGTGAGAGGAGACGACAGAGTGGCTCATGGGTGACGATCGACATCGACGACTAACGATCTGGGATCGTCGATAGCACGCCGTCGACGGCCCACCTGCCATCAGAGAAGGCCCCACACGCCTGCGGCCTGCGATTGGAAGATCCCAGTGCCAAACTGACGGCAAGCTAAGTGCTAACGGCCGGTGACTGAGGTGTGGCAAGGGCACCGCCAGGGAGGGAATGAGGGAGGAGTGGATGGCATTGGAGGTCAAATTCCGAGCAAGAGAAGGCAGAAGCGACACCTGGAGGTCTGATTCGGGGAGTGGTCAGACCCAACGAAATCCCGTATAAACTATCAAAATTTAGTAATAAATAGTTCGTTGCAAGTACGAAGAAGAAAGACAAGGACCAAATATGATTCCTACCATGGTTTGTTTGACCGTGCAGTCAAAATCAGTAGGCCCTTTTCTAGCAGCAAAGGTGCAGTAATCTAGCGGCCTTGAGCTTTTATTCGCCCTAGGCCCGGCACGCAGCTTGCATGAACTCAATGCAATCAGCCCTCAAAACTATTTGAGTGGTCACATGACTAGTGACTTGCGCTCTATGTATGTGACAAATGGCGAGTGCGTCTACTGAATGGCCACGCTTCCAATGTCGAATTGCCTGGACAAATCCACCGGGAGCACGCCCTCATAATGCATGGCAATCACTCGAGGCCATGGTGACCTCGTCTCCCCTCCTTATCCCCTCCTCCCCGACCTCCGACGGAATTCCATTGCAATGTCCCTCTCCCCCTCCCCCTCCCGAGACCTCGACGCACAATGGGTGACGGGAGCGCGCCACCCAGTCCAGTTGGCCCGTGGCCCTGCGTTCCTCTCCTCTGTGACTCGGTGCAGCCAACAGTTGATCGTCAAATCCGTGCCAAATCGGAATACCACGGGATTGACCCTGACGACCGGAATAGGACACGTTGATCAGATGATGAAGGGAGTGGAAGGCTGGTCTGCTGTGAGAAAGTCCCAGCCTTCTGTCCAACTGTATAACGAGGATGTGACGGCTGAGACAGGATAGACGGTTCCCTCCGTCATAACGATAGGACCGTCGTACCTTACAGTGACTCAAACCGGTCAAACGGCCACAGAGCAAAGTAAACGTCGCCGAAATCTGACACCGGTTCCTATTGATTGGAGAAGCACTATGAGTGTGGTACAGCTATTTATTAGGATTTTCTGTGAGCTTTCAGAATGTATTCGTGGTCCAGACGTGACATAAGCTGGTCTAAGAGGATTAGGCTGTCTGTCACACGGAATCGGGAGGGGAAAGTCAGGACGTTATATGACGACGCTGCAAAACTGGGCCCGAATCGACGGGGATTGGGCCGTCGGTACGGCAATAAGTAACCGTCCAACGACGGAGCCACACCGGAGACTCAACAGTTGCAATTATTCGGAAGAGTCTTAAAATATGTACATCTGAGGCCAGTTTTACCAACAGAAAAATCGCCGCCTGCCGGAATTTTTTGTCTAAAGACCGCTTCACATACAGAACGTAAATGCGATGGGCACGTAAGCGGATAGGGCTTTACCGTTTATGCTCTGTAAGTGAAGCAATCTTTAGGCAAAAAAAATCCGGCAGGCGGCTATTTTTCTGTTGGTAAAACTGGCCTCAGGTCTAGTCACCATCGAGGACATCAATAGGAAGGATAGCCCGCCCTCTGACGCCCCACCCCAGCGGTAAAACTCTCCCCTCAGATCCACATGCAGCACACGGCGTCTTACAGCACACTGCACACTGGCCCGATAGCCACGCTGGCTGGCCGACGGGAACGGGCGGATGTGGGGACGGGTAGGGGAGATGGAACGCGTGTCGGCCGTGTCCCTCTGACAATCGCCGGCGAATTAATTGGCGACATGCCATCCACCCTGTCTGTTTGTCGGCGTTTCCTGCCGGCGCAGAACAATGGGCTCGATCGCGAACATACAGTCAGGCAGAGCGCAGGGCGGGACCGGGACATCACGGTTTCACGGATAGGCGGACGAACGGATGGGGGCGGATGGGGAGACGGAAATTTACGAACGAACGGGACAAGATTCAAGGAATAATGATTGAGGTCCCTGAATGAATAAGCCAATGATGGGGAAAAGATCTGAGGAGGGACGAAAATCAATGGAACACATTGAAGAATAAGCGAACCGAACGGTAAAACGAGCAAACCAACGAATGAACGACCAACCGAATGAAGGAATCAGTGAACAAACGATTCACAAAGACAGCATGAAAGATTTTCGTGCAAATGGAAGGATGGAGAAATAGTGATCTGCTCATAAAACCGAAATTCCTCTCAGACAAACCTCAGAGCGATTCTGAGGCAACATAAAAACAAGAAGTTACAATATTAAATCACAGCTGACTCCAGAGACTGGCTAGGTGGCGCGGCGGACGCTCACACGCGTCAGGAGATGTCAGCACAATAGCGAAACAGCTCCCTCGACCGACGCCCAACACGCTTGGTTTGTTTGCAAAATGATCTATGAACTTAAAAAAAAAACATGAAAATTCACCAGCTTATTCAAGTCAAGCACCTCACATGCTACCCCAGTGCCACTCATTTCTTCAGGGCTCATGTTATGGATTGAGTCCTAGTCCTAGGCTCTACATAGTGTTGCATGGTAAGAACGTTTACATAGCCTTGGTAAGAACCAAGGCAAGAAGAACCATTAGACCCCCTAGTCCTACCCATAAATTTTGTAGTGACGCCGGAGGTCAAGCCTCATAAGATGACAGGTCGCTGAAGCATGAATCAATGATAACTACAAAGAATTGTGCATGAAATGGTCGCAATCATTTTGATACATACGATAGATAAGGGCCGTAAACGATAAGCAGGCATGGGATCAGTAGCGGCGAAACACCGGGGGGGGGGGGGGGGGCACTGCCGACTTTTGGTGCCATTCTTTCCATGCAACGCCCATAGGGCTAATGTTAAAATGCCAAAATCGAAGGGGGCACGGTGCCCAGGTGCCCTCCCCGTTCCGCCGCCTATGCATGGGATCGGCGATGCGGTTGATGTCTTGGTCCTTGGACGATGGAAATTGCTTTGAAGGTCAATGGCCATGAACACAGCAGATATTTTACTCTATGGCCGTGACTGTGAGGTAATGATTTCAATTGAGAAAAAGGCATTAAAAGGCCGGGACAGGCGCTTACCGTCGGTCGTAAAGATGGATGAGTATGAAAATTAGCTGAACACCCAACTATATCCAACTTCAAGAAAATCACCAATTACATTCGCAGTTTCAAAGTGCTTCACATGCCTTTTTAGTTTGATCTCATACGTCAAGATAGCAATCTCCTCTCCAGCAACTATATCTTAAAGTAAAGCGTGGCATTGGTACCATAAAACGCAAACAATATGGATATTGGATAAGCTTATAAAAAACGAAAATCTAAAATGATATATCGTCCATGAACGAGAGAATCCAAGGACTTGGCCCAAACTTGACCCGGGACAGCCACGTGTTGATCATACGCCGGGCCAACGCCAGGCGCCGACGACGGTCAGTTGCCATAGTAACGGCACATGGTCACGTGACGACGCTTTGCGCCGAGACCAAATCGGATCGATGGCCGCGCGCTGGAGCCGTGGTGCGCTGCGCGTGTTGGTCATATTCGGGCAGATGGTGAAGTATTACAGCCGACTTGTGTGAGGGAAGGTGGTGCTTGTTCGCCTGGTGAATCTACACGGTGAAGCGACCACCCGAAGCATAAAAATCGCCGCTGACCACCGACGGAAGGAAAGCACGCTGTGTTGAAAAGTGCAAGCACGACAACGTGGTTTGTAAACAATCGAGAAAGTATTTGAGAAAAAAAACTTCGCCGAAATGCTTACGGCAAATCAGTGACCTCATATTACTCACATTTTTCAAACAATGGCGGTTGCGGTGGCACTGGCAGGCCTGGTGACCGTGCTCGTCCAAGGAGCAGTCTCCGATTCATCCACCTGCAACAATCAGGTTGGTTTGTCATTTATATATTACCCCAATCCAGTATCCACCACCTATAATTACGCATTGGGTGCGATGCACATAGACTTCGCACGAGAACGACTAACGAGTAAATGTCGGTCGGAGATGGAATAGCTGCATTATGCATAGCATGGAAAGAATAGTAGAAATGCTATGACAAGCAAAAGGTCACGAGAGGACTAATGCTATAAGACCATGCTATAGTGAGAGCGAGAGCCTAGAAGTAGGAGAATCGGTTCGCTGCTGATAATTATGCTGCTGGTCTGCTTATAGTCCTAACATCACCACTGTATGTGCTTCATTTCAGACGGGTTTTCGGTATCAGTTCACCGAGTGTGATGAGTCCGGTGGTCGGTGGCGAGTGTCTGTCCCCTCGGCGACCGCGTGCTTCAACAGTCCGCCGCCGCCGCCTACCCGGGTCAGCGACTGCAGTAAGTCACACTTTGATCCAATCCATCTGTGTTCTGGTTCAAGTTACCCGGGTCAGGTCAGCGACTGCAGTAAGTCACACTTTGATCCGTCATATGTGTTTCCATCCAGGTCACTCGGGTTAGCGACTGCAGTGTCACTCTTTCATCTGTGTCAGTGTCGCTTAAGATCACTCTGGGTATCAACTGGTTTATGTCCCTCTGAGTGCTCTGACACACCTTTACATACGTACCGGCTTCAGCTCAGATTATGCGGTCAGCGAAGTACAGGTTCACAGTGTACAGGTTCGCCTACATGCGCTGGTTCAAACAAACAAACGGCTGAACGGTCGACGGTCCAGGTCATCTGGGCCAGCGACTACAGCAGGTAATCCCTCTAATCTGCATTCATGAAGCGGCGCTGACTCAGGTCAACATGGTCAACGACTTATCGGCCCGAGTTCACCGGTCGGCAAGAAGTCCCTCTGATTGGCCCGGATGTTCGGGTCCAGCCTAAAACACACGGGCGCGATTCGCACCTCGGGAGATGCGACAGCAGATGCGAACTGCGGAATGAGCATTATTCCTGTTACAAAGGTGACGAGAGTGACGGTACAGCTCTTGCGAGATTAAGCGGTAGGTTTTGCACTTTTACATTTCCGGTTATATCTCCGATACTAATCGATCTACGATGAAGCCATTTTCCACGATCATGTCCGGCTTGTGAACGAACAAGTCGATCGCATCTTCAACACTTAAAAGACGACGAAGATATAGCCTGAAGTACACTAAATTTTCTAGGTGCAAAACCTACCGCTAAAACCCGCGAGACCTGTACCTTATTGAACGTGATTATAGGTCATTGCTCGTCAGATCGGTTTTGCAGGCTGTGCGAGGCTTTATGACTGTCAGCTTTCCTCCCATTAGGCATTAGTTATATTCCTGTCGACACAATGAATGTTTGAAGCCGATTGTCTGTCATACTAATATTCGGCTTACCCGCTGTCAGAAGTAGAAGATCCGTTAATTTAGTAAAATAAAATTCAAGAACATCTGTAGTGAAGAGTCCCATAATGCTGGAACAGTTGTCTCTTAGAGCACCATTAGAGCGTCACATTAGCCCAAAACTACCCGTTTCTGCGAGCGGCACTGGCTGTATGTTCCAGCCCGCCCCCGCGGGGTCAGCTAGCCGCCGCGCCGGTCAAACGAGCCGGCTCGTTTGGATCAAAGTGGTCCATTTGGGCGCCCAACGCGGTTAGTTAGCGGGCCTGCCGGGCGGACAGAGCCCCCGCTGGGTAATTTGTCCGCCGCTGGAACCAGCTGCTCGGCTGTCTGCAGTGTGGGCTGCCGGTGCCGGCTGGGTCGGGCAGGTGGGTCAGGGTGTACCGGCGGGTCAGCCGACCCGTATAGCCTCCCCCGACCCCGCTGGTAGCAGCACGGCGCTGCGCCCGGTGCGGGCCCGGCCCGATCAATGTACCGGCTGAACCGGGTCGGTGGCGGTGCTCGAGCGGCGCGCACGGCGCATCCCCGCACCTTATCAAAACCTCCCCGCCTCTCTCAGCCTCCGTCCAGCAGAGATTCCATTCCGGCTGCGTTGGGAAACGACACGGGGAGGCGGTGGAATATATGTAAACGAAGCCGAGATGTGTGTGACAGAGACGTGTCCGTATTGAGGTACAGAGACTGAGAGACATTTCCGAGTGGTGGAGCAGAGACGAGGCAGAGAGGTGTTGACTAATGGGCTAGTGCCGTGTTCGCTTGGTTCTCCGGGTTGCTCATAAGATGCGACCGAGCGCGTTACCAGAGCCGTCTGCTGGTAAGGCTTCCATTCCCGACGCTAATTGGAAGAACGCTAAAACAAGGAGGCCGGCATCCGGGATGCCCCTCTCAGCGGAGATGTCTCAAAGTGTGGAGTCAGGTGGCAGACTTGTAATTGGTTTACAGTCATTGATAGCATTGCCGAGATGACCTGTCAGCCGCACGCTTTATTGTGTCCGGGCGAAAAGTTACCGCCGGCAGACTTCTGGTCGTGAGCCGGGCTCATCCATTTCGAGCCCCGCCGTCTGGCTTTGGGTCGCCTCTGGGCGCGACGAATATAGACCGTGTTTGAGATCACATCCTCAGCCCCGGACTGCCGCTGTCACGGCCGGCAAAGTTGGTCGTATCGCCGCAACCATGGGCCATTTCACCGCGCGCCTGACAGTGACGCCGGGCCGAGAGTCTGCGGCGCCACTGGGTATCGACCCCGGCGGACTGCCAGACGACCGTCCCGGGATGCATTTTTAACCCGCCACGTCCAGGTGTGGTGGGGAGGGATAATTTAAGACTGTTGAATAGTGGCAGCCAAGGTGTGGAGGCGTCATACTATTAGTCGATGACAGCAAGAACCAAGAAACATGTGCTTTTTACTGAAAACATTAACCTGGCCTCCTTGCTTTTCTTTTATAATTGTTTCAGTCATTAAATTGGCAATACCAGCACTTAAAGATTTCATTGGAATTTTCAACTAGAGTACTTCAGTCAGTACTCAGTTAACACCACCTTTTAAAATTCCCTCTGCAAAACCTTAAGCTACATAAAGCGAAAACGTTATTTGCATCGGAGAACGTTTTCTGCATTACATTCCGGTGCGACCTTCTAGTACATATGTACGTAAAGGTGGTATACTGAGGTGGTGCGCCGAGCCAATAATGGCGCCCACGCTGGCACGGCATTCATGCATGCTAACGCGTCCGCTGCACACGAGACTTGGACCATTGGTGACTGATGAAGCTGACGTGACTGGCGTGTCTTACGGCGGTAATTTGGGTCGGACGTGGGCCATGGGACCGGCGAATATATTCAGTAGACAACCTACATGAGACATGTCATACAAAAATGTGTCACCAATCACCATATATTTGAACTGATGCTTGATCATTTAGGCCTGAACAGTGAACTGTCGAGCGTTCTGGCCGATGTCTAAGACGATGAACACAGTGCGGCTTCAAACTCCCAAAAATATTCGACCTCCGCTGAAGCTGACAACAGCCATGATACACCATTATTAACTACTAACTCCTATCTCCTTTCGCACCGACAGCGCCGTCCTGCAAGCCGGGTCGCTTCTTCAACCTGACCTCGCTGAGCTGCAGCAAGTGTCCGGCGGGCTCGTACTCGCTGGGCGGAGGTCAGGTGTTTGACGAGTGGGCCAAGGTGCCCAACGGCTTCCAAGTGGTCACCGAGCCCTTCAAGACGTCCTTCCTCAACGTGAAGCGACTCGGTGCCGACATCAACTGCGACGAGTCAGTATACCCGGGGTGGTGGGGAAGAGAAGGGGTTGCACGCTACGCTATGTAATATAATTTAGGAGAGTATCATTGAAGGTCTACATTCGATATATTCAAAGCCCATTGTGCCACTCCACCCGATGTAAATAAACGCTTGTGGGTGCATTTACAGTGCACAATCTCGCAGCACACTAATTTCACATAAGCTGTCACTGCCCCTAATGTGCTCGTTTTCATGGGTTTCCATCGTTCCCATGAACTGAATGTGGTGCTATATTGATTCTAACGGACAGTGCATATAGAACCATATCTAATAAGGTTATCGATTTGACGCCAGCCCACTGCGCTCGCCCGTCCAACCTATCATTTGCCCCGTGCCCTTCCGTCTGGCCATTTATTTCGCCCGTCCGTCTGTTTGTCCTTTTTCTTTTCTTCTGTCCGTACATTTGTCAGTTCTTTTCATTTCATCCGTTTGTATGTTTCCCGTCCGTCTTCACTCGCCCACTCTGTCCGTCCGTACATCCCGTCCACTCTGTTCTCCCGTCCGTCTGTCCGTCTGTCCGTCCGTACATTCTGTCCACGTGCCTGCCGGTACCCGTGTCAGTCAATGTCCGGAGCGTCCGGGGTCACCTGTTTACGAGACCCGGGGCGGCGCAGAACCCACGGATCGATGATGGGACGGCGTGAGACGATGTAAAAACGCGCCTGTTTACATCTCTGTGGTAGACTGACAGAGACGAGCTCGCATCTCTTCAGCGGTGGCTGCAACGCGTAGTGTGTCGTCGATGCTTGTGTCTTAGAAGGTTGTTTCCCTTTAACTTTCTATAG